CCATAGCTTTTTTACAAATTTATGACGAGGCCCTCACATTGAGCCCACAACATCGGGCCCAAATTTAGGAGACAATTTGAAGGACTTGGTTAAAAAAACAATTTTTTTTCCCGGGGCCCCCGCCCCCCGGCCCCCAAACCCCCCTTTTTTTGGGGCCTAAAATAAGAAAAATTAATGTAGCACTTTTTAAAATCACATAAGCATTTTCATTAATTTCATGTAACCAACTATTAACAGGGCAAAAAAAATTTTGGGCAACAGTTTCATTTTCCCTTTTCCCTTGCCCCCCTTTTCATCAGAGTCATCGTCTCATTTAGCTTTTCCCCTTTTTTTTGGGAACCTTAGGTTTTCTTGCGCCTTTTTGGAAACCCGGGGGTTTTGTAAACATCATCATCAAACCACCCCTTTCCCTAGAATTTATGGAAATATGGGTTTTTTGAAATCAAAGTAAAATTTTTTAAAACAATGTACAGCATACCATAGTTATTTTGGTGGTTTAAATTTCATACAAAGACCCTTAAAGGCCAACCAAGCAGAAAAGGCCCCCAATTCTAATTAAGCCCTGAACACAACAAAACCCAAAAAATAACCCTTTTCCCAAAACCCTTACTTTCAGTATTTCTAGACCATGATCCTTGTCCATACAAAATTGGGACAACCCTTCTGTCTCCATTTCTTTTCCTTTTTTTCCCTTTGGAAAATTTAACCTTCCTTTCCTTATCTATTCAAACTATTTTCAATCAATCTATAGCATTTTAAAAGCATTCACCTTTCCTTTTTACATAGCCTTTGTTTTAATTCAGATTCTCCCACACAAGATATTTCTCAACCCCTTTTCCCTGCATTCATAACCAATCTGCTTAAGATGTAAACCACCCCTTTTAAAATTTTTTAAAAATCTTTTAGAAAACATACCATTTTGATTTTAGCCCTTTCCTCAGCTACACATGCTGAAAAGCACTCCGAACATATTAACAATATTAAAAAAACCTTTTTAAATGTGAGCAGTAAATTTTTGGGGCCCAGATATGAAAGAAGGGATCTTTTTGGTAATGCACCAAAAAAAATCCTGCAGAAAAAAGTGCAATGAGGGAAAAAAAGGCAAACCTATTTTTGGGTTAAAAAAAAAGCGACTTTCCCATGTTTTTTGGGAGGCTTTTATGGTTGTATTCATGGTTTCTTAGTCTTGGGTTTTACAAGTGGAAGACATTGCAAAAAAAAAAGATGAATTTTAATTTGGGTTTAGGGGAAAGAAAAAAGTTTTTAAAAATGAGTTTAAAATAGCAGAAAGTTTGATTTTTGCCAAATTTTTAAAAGTAAACAAACCAAAAACATCAACTGGTGGGTCCCAATTTTTTTGTTTTACATATGTGTGAAATTTTCAAAATTAAATTTTTAAAAATTGCATAACGTTTAATCTTTTTTTTGGGGTGTGAATAAAAAAAAGAGATGAAATTTCAGTGCGAAGCCTGGGAACATAAATAATGAAAAGGGAAATTTTTAAATGCCAAAAGGGAAAGCCCGCATTTTTTTTTTTTGGGCCCCTTTTTTAAAAAGGAATATTTTGGGAAAATTTTTGAAAAAAGGCCCCAAATTTAAACCCAAAATTGATCCCATTGAGTAGCTGAAATAGTCGATTAGGGAGTTTCTTGTGCTCAACGATAAAATTTTAAAAGGGATAGGAAACATAATAAAGAATTTGGGCTACTGGGAAAAATGGCGAAACAAAAATGACTTCAAGAGTGTATCAGTCTGTAGTGGAAGGAAGGCGGGGTAGGGGTCGGCCTAGGAAGGTTTTGGCGGGAGGGGGTAAAGGAGGTTTTGTGTGCGAGGGCTTGGACTTCCAGCAGGCATGCGTGAGCGTGTTTGATAGGAGTGAATGGAGACAAATGGTTTTTAATACTTGACGTGCTGTTGGAGTGTGAGCAAAGTAACATTTATGAAGGGATTCAGGGAAACCGGCAGGCCGGACTTGAGTCCTGGAGATGGGAAGTACAGTGCCTGCACTCTGAAGGAGGGGTGTTAATGTTGCAGTTTAAAAACTGTAGTGTAAAGCACCCTTCTGGCAAGACAGTGATGGAGTGAATGATGGTGAAAGTTTTTCTTTTTCGGGCCACCCTGCCTTGGTGGGAATCGGCCAGTGTGATAATAAAATTTTAACATGTATGTCTAGCTCTGTCTCTGCTTATTTGTCTGCCTGTGTGTGTCAGCTTCTCTCTTTCTGGTTCAGAGCTGCTCACGAACTAACAGGTATTACACATGATGCAGAGTTGTCACATCTAATTCCTGAATAAGTGAAAATGTGTATTACTTGGCAATCATGCTTATTATACCTTACATCACAAGCACTGTATGGATTTTTTGAGTTATCCTACACTATGTATGATAACTATTTTTGTGTACCCATGATACAGACAGCAGAAATAGAAACAGACAGACAGACAGACAGCCAGTCAATCAGCTAGCCACCCAGCCTGCCAAACACGTATTACACACATTCCAGAATTATTTATCTTTACTTACGACATAGGTTATAGGACTTTCTGGCAGGATGACACTACCAGTGGTATCAAAATTGAAAGGATGTTACACAAATGTTGCACATTGGTTATTACCGAGGTTTTTTATATTTCCTTGACCACTTGTGGCCATATCCATCTCAAAGCCACTAAACTCAGGGTCAACATAACATTCCCCTTTTAAGAGGAAAGTGAAGACATGACATCAGTGTATCCCTGGTGTTTGCCACGTTCTTTGCTCTAGCTGGTGCTCGACTGAACTGGGGCTCCCAGATTTTTTTTTTTAATACTGTGCACACCAAGTGTGAAGACTCGTTCTATAATGACCAGACATCTCAGGCCAATTGTCCCAAATTTGGAGGCAGGAAAAAGAAAACGCTGATCTACATTTGGAGCGCTAACGGTAAGAACGTAGATCTACGTTAGGAAAGTTAATGGGTTAAACCAATTCCACTGCTCAATTCAACAAAGTTTTTTTTTTTTTCCAACTACTTCAACAGTATGCCTTTCATTCTATCAGAGAAACACATGCAACTACCCATTTAACTATCAGTATTACTCCATAAAATGCAGACAACTCAGTAATTTGAGAAAAAAAAAAAAAAAAAAAATAAACACTAGATATTTTCCCCTTAGGAGCAAGGGGCTAGTAACCCCTTCTCCTGTATATATTACTAAATGTGAAAGGAGAAACTTTTGTTTTTCCTTTTGGGCCACCCTGCCTCGGTGGGATACAGCCTGTGTGTTGAAAGAAAGAAGAAAAGAAGATTTTCCCCTTACAAATTTTTAGTTATCTGACCTTCAGCTGGCAATTTAGGGTGTGTTTAAACATAAATCGGTTAAAATTACAGGAATCTAACCTGCTTATAAAGCAGGTTAGATTCCAGGCTACTGCTGCAAAGCAAAAATGACCAAAGGAAGTCATAGCTTTTTTTTTTTATTTTAACTTTCAATTGTATATAAAAGCCTGATAACGTGTGTACCCTATCATATATTAAGTGAGCAATTGAGCTAGACCTGAGTAAATGGAAAATGGGTATAACTGAAAAATGCTGTAAAGCAGGACCCACTTGTAGTATTAAAAGTTGCCATTTCTAAGCAAGGGTGACCAAAATTAAACATCCATCACAAGTGCTGATATTTCAATCTAAACTCTGTAAACCACAAGTTTCAATCAATTTAAAAATGCAGGCAATGCATTGCAGCAGTCTAGCTAGCTAACTTCTGCAAATCCCACACAGCACACTTAGCTGAAACCCACTAACTTTTTTTTTTCCTCTCAAAACAATTCCCCATTAACCCTTCCAGGGTTTCCGATGTACTAGTACAGTACATGTATGTCATATGTGCCAGGGTTATTGACGTACTAGTATGAGGAAATCCTAGCGCCTTCAAATCTAGCGAGAGAAAGCTGGTAGGCCTACATATGAAACAATGGGTCTATGTGGTCAGTGTGCACAGTATAAAAAAATTCCTGCAGTACAGTGCATAATAATAATAATAAAAACTCTGACCGTGTTTTTGGTTTAAAATAGCGTCTTTGCAGTATATTTTCGTATGGTATTTATGGTTGTATTCTAGTTTTTCTGGTCTCATTTTATAGAATGGAAGACATATTACAGAAATTTATATGATTTTGATTGGTTTCACAATGAAAAGTTCCTTGAAATTGAGCTCAAAGTAGCAGAAATATTCGATTTTTGCCAAAGTTCAAAAGTAAACAAATCATGCCACACTTCCAATACACGTCAACTGGGAAGTCTAATATTCTTTCACAAGTGCGCTGATATTTTTTATACCATTTCTACACCAATGCAGTTGTCTGCAGAACAGTAAATCTTCTATTTTTTTGCGAGAATAAAAAATTAAAGTGGAAAGCAAAAGAAATGTTAGAGGCTAATGAAGAGAAAATGTTATTTTAGTGCCAGGAATATGTCTAGTTTATTCTGGACCCTATTTGGAAATTAGCATCTTTTGAAATTTGTGAACCTGGCAAAATTGCCAATTTCTGACCACCTTATTGGATAGCTGAAATCGGTAAATGGGTGGTTTCTTGTACTCATTCGATAGAAAAAATGGAGTTCTAGTGAAATAGTTATGATTTTTGTCGACTAGTACACTGGAATTGGCCGAAAATAGGGCTCAAAGTGGGCGAAATCACCGATGCATAAACACCATCGAGACCATTATTTTCGCAAGAGCATAATTTCTTAAGTTTCCCATCAAATTTCACACTTTTGGTGTCAGTATGATTGAAAAAAGATTCATTTGATAAGAAAAAATCCCCCCCCCCCCCCCAAAAAAAATCGACCCCGAGAACAAGTTTAGGAGAGGGCCTCTCAACCCTGAAAGGGGTTAAACACCCCAGGTTTAAACATGAAGTCTTAACTGATTATCCTATCCCTGCCTACTTACCAATCACCTATTGTTCAATGCTTTCTTACTTACCAATCACCTATTGTTCAATGCTTTCTTACTTACCAATCACTTTCAATAGTTGGTCATCACAGATTGCATATTGCTTATTCTTAGGATCCTGCAGCTCCCGTTCCTTAATGACCGCCCATAGCTTCTTTACAACTTCATGACGAGGCATCACATCTGAGCCCACAACATCGGCCAATTCAGGAGACAATTTGAAGGACTTGGTAAAAGCAGATTTTTTACCACGGCCACCGCCACCGCCGCCACCACCCTTTTTGGGTGCCTAAAATAAGAAATATTAATGTAGCACTTATACATCACATAAGCATGTCATTAATTTCATGTAACACTAACTATTAACAGGGCAAAAAAATGTTGACTAACAGTTTCATTTACCTTCTTCCTCTTGCCCCATTCTTCATCAGAGTCATCGTCATCATCAGCTTTACGTTTCTTGGGACTAGCCTTAGGTTTTCTTGCGCCTTTCTTGGAACCGGGTTCGTAATCATCATCATCACCACCCTTACCCTAGAATTTATGGACAATATGGTATTTGAAATCAAAGTAAAATTGTGTAAAACAATGTACAGCATACCCATAGTTATTTAGGTGGTCTACTTTCATACAAATGACCATTAGAAGGCCAACCAATGCAGAAATTGCACAACTTCTAACTTAAGACATGAACACAACAATCTAACCTAGCCTTGTCTAAAACATCCTTACTACAGTATTTCTAGACCATGATCCTTGTCCATACAAAATTGGCACAACCATACTGTGCTCCATTACTTTCTTTTTCCATTGGAGATTTAACCCTTCCTTTCCTTATCTATTCAACTATTTCTCAATCAATCTACTAGCAGTTAAATGCATTCACTTCCTTCACATAGCCTTCTGTTCAATCTCAGATTCTCTACACAAGATATTCTCAACCTTTCCATGCATTCATAACCAATCTGCTTAAGATGTAACACCACCCGTTTAAATTATTAAATCATCTTTTAGAATCATACTATTTTCGATATAGCCTTACCTCAGCTACACATGCTGAAAAGCACTCCGAACATATTACACAATGATAAAATACCTTTAACTGTGAGCAGTAAATTTGGGCCTAGATATGAAAGAAGGCATCTGTGTGGTAAGTGCACCAAAGAAAATCCTGCAGCACACAGTGCAATGAGGAAAAAACGGCAACCATATTTTTGGATTAAAACAGCGACTTTGCGATGTATTTTTGTATGGCTTTTATGGTTGTATTCATGGTTTCTTAGTCTTGTTTGACAGAGTGGAAGACATTGCAAAAACAAAGATGATTTGATTGGCTTTAGGAATGAAAATAGCTTAAAACTGAGTTCAAAGTAGCAGAAATGTTTGATTTTTGCCAATGTTTAAGAGTAAACAAACTCAATATACATCAACTGGTGGGTCTAATTTGTGTTCACATATGTGTGATATTTACATAATTATTACAATATTGCATAACAGTGAATCTTTTTTGGTGCGTGTGAATAAAAAATGAAGATGAAATTTCATGTGCGAAGCCTGGGAACATAAATAATGAACAGGAAATTTTAGTGCCAGGAATGCCTGCATTGTTTATTTTGGACCCTATTTTGAAAATGGAATATTTTGAAATTTGTGAAAATGGCCAAATTACCAATATATGATCACTATTGAGTAGCTGAAATAGTCGATTAGGCAGTTTCTTGTGCTCAATCGATAAAATAGAAGGCATAGTAGCATAATAAAGAATTTGGTCGACTGGAACAATGTATGTAATTGGCCTAAAATAGGACCTAAAGTGGGCGAAAATTGCATTAGTTATGTTCTTAGGCCTCTCCAATATTACACATGAATTCCATGTAGAATATTAATTCACACACAAAAATAGAAAATTTACTGTTATGCAGACTACTGTATTATTGTAATAATTGTACAAATAATGTCACTGTATTCCTAAAAGCCTATCAGACTGGACAGATGAACATGTATTGGACAAGTGTACTCTAATAGTGGCAAAAATTTAATATTTCTGCTACTTCAAACTCGATTTCAAGCTTTTACTCCTGAAACCAATCAAAATCATTCTATTTATGTAATATATCTTCTAATCTATCAAGTGAGACCAAGAAATCAAGAATACAATCACAAAAACCACAAAGTTGCCGTTTTAAACCAAAAACAAGTCACAATTTCCCTATTACATGGTGAACACTTACCACGGACCCATTCTCTCACATCTAGGCCCAAATTTACCGAGCTCGTGGTGTAGAACAACGGGACCAACCCACAAAGGGTTAAAAATCACACATAGTAAACAAAACTAAACTACTTAGATAGAAGATGCATATAACAAAATGTACGAACAAACTAAATTTTAGCTTTAGAGATACTAAGCAAGTAATGTTTATAGAGCTCATATACCACTACTTACAGAAATAAGTTATCTCTTACCTCCGATTCTGGCTCTGACTCTGAATCCTCCTTGGCTTTGGGAACTTCCTCCTCTGATACCTCCTCATCTGAGTGTGAGTTAACTTGATCTTCTACATCAGCCATGATGATTGAGTCTATTTCCTTTTTTCGATCTGAAAGGTCAACACCAAGCTGCTCCTCAAGCTGCTGACGAACTTTTTTGGCTGATAAAGTTTCAAGATCTGCACCTTTGAGGATGGCTGTAAACATACAAATCGGTTAAAATTCCCTGTACTGTATAAATTTTTTTAATTATATAAAAATGGTATCGCAATCCCATATGCATCAAGAATATTTAAACAAAATTTAACAAGTACAAAGCCTAAAGGATAATTCTGTATGGAGCACTCATAGACAAGACAATTACCACAATGCAAACATTACAAGCTTAAGGGAGGGGCGAGCAGAATCGCCAACTTTTTTTTTTATCAGATTTCAATGGGATTGTGACTGGATTAAGCAGCATAAAAAAACATATAGGCTGTGTATGTTTTGACTGCTAGCCTTCAAGTAATAGAAAAAAATAAATTTTGAACAATTTTATGGGTCCTAGGACTTTCCTTTTTCTACTAAATTGGCAAGATGTACTATGATCTTGCCAATTTAGTAGACAGTTTAGCGATAATGTCAGTCGATTTTACACACACAGTTGTAGTATTTTTTTGTACAAAAAAAAAAAAATCATAAAAAACAAAGCTGTAAACAGTATCACAAATCCACCCTGGGTGTTTTTAGAACCATCATTCCTCAAAAACATCTGCAAAAATCATGACAATCCTATTAATATTTATCGCAGGATAGGTATTACAATGTCAATAACTTATTTCTGATTTATTATCGATTTTGTTTGGTGTGAAACTCTACGGTTATGGCACGCCAAATCTAGGCGTGTTGCACCCCTCCTTGCTTGTTGACAGCCTGCAGGACACTGAGGGACTCCCTCACTGCACTCCACACACTAGCTAGCACAGAAGATGCCATGTAGAGTATTTACAATGTAACAATCATAAAAAAAAAAAACAATACCAATTGCCAACATGTATTTTTGCTGACAGCAGCAGCAAAAAAAAAAAAAAAATACATTTAACCCTTTCAGGGTCGAAAGGCCCTCTCAGAGACTTCTCACGGTCGGCCAAATTAAAAAAAAAATTTTTCTTATGAAAAGATAGAATCTTTTCCCGATCATAATGACACCCAAAGTATGAAATTTGATGGAAAACTTACGGAATTATGCGCTCATGAAGTCAGCAGTCTTGACGATGTTTACGCATCGGTGATTTTGCCCACTTTGAGCCCTATTTTCAGCCAATTCCAGTGTACTTGTCGACAAAAATCATAACTATTTCGCTAGAACTCCATTTTTTTCTATTGAATGAGTACAAGAAACCACCCATTTACTGATTTCAACTATCCAATACAGTGGTCAGAATTTAGCAATTTTGCCAATTTCGCACAAATTTCAAAAGATGCCAATTTTCGAATAGGGTCCAGAATAAACAAGAAAGACATTCCTGGCACTAAAATAGCATTTCCTCTGTTCATTAGTCACGTCCCCATGCCCCTCTTACATTCTTTTGCTTTCCACTTTGAATTTTTATTCTCACAAAAAAAATAGAAGATTTACTGTTATGCAGACTACTGCATTGGTGTAGAAATCGTATAAATAATATCAGCGCACTTGTGAAAGAATACTAGACTCACCAGTTGACGTGTATTGGATGCATAGCATGATTTGTTTACTTTTGAACTTTGGTAAAAATCGAACATTTCTGCTACTTTGAGCTCAATTTCAAGATAGTTTTCTTGATAAAACCAGTCAAAATCATCTCAATTTCTGTAATATGTCTTCCATTCTATAAAATGATACCAGGAAAACTAGAATACAACAATAAATACCATACGAAAATACAGTGCAAAGTCGCCGTTTTAATCCAAAAACACGGTCAGTTTTTTTTTTCTCATTACGCAGTGTGCTGCAGGATTTTTTTTTATACTGCACACACTGACCACATAGACGCATTCTTTCATATGTAGGCCTACTAGCTTTCTCACTAGATTTGCGGGCACTAGAATTTAGGCGTACTAGTACATACGTCAAAAACCCTGGTGCGTAAGCCGTACTAGTACGGCCAAAACCCTGAAAGGGTTAATGAAAAACATACTTAGAAATATGATAGAAACTAGCAGATTACATCAAAATGTTGCCAGAATTTTGTACTATTTTTCAGTAAGAACATTTTTTCCATAATTTTTCAATTTTAATTTCCTGAAACTGGAAAAAGGCTCGCCCCTCCCTTAAACATTTTATAAATTTATTTATTATATGAACAAAACAAGCTCAACAGCTAGGCATCTTTCTTAAGACAATTTTACATATGCAGTAGTCTTCCTCAGTCAAATGCAGAGGTGAAAAAATATGGAGACAGCAGGAGCTGTGGAGGTTAAGATGCAAGCAGTCCAACCTTAACCCTTTCAGGGTCCGTCCCGTAGATCTACGGCTTTACATTCAGGGTCCAAACCATAGATCTACCTCATGAGCTCAGCTCTCTCTGATAAACTGAGTGGTACACTTGGGCCTAGATATGAGAGAATACATCTATGTGGTATGTGTGCACCACATAAAACAAATCCTGCAGCACACTGTGTATAATGAGAGAAAAAAAAATGAAACCAAGATTTTCGATTAAAACAGCAACTTTGCAGTGTTTTTTCGTATGTTTTTTATAGTTGTATTTGCAATTTCTTGGTCTCATTTGATAGAATGGAAGACATATTACAGAAATAGAGATGATTTTGATTGGTTTTACCACTAGAAATGGCTTGAAACTGAGCTCAAAGTAGCGGAAATGTTAAATTTTTGCCGATGTTCGAGAGTAAACAATCGACCTCACACGTCTAATACACGCGAGCTGGTGGGTCTAATATACATTCACAAATGTGGTGATGATATTTACACAATTATTACAATATTGCATAACAGTAAATCTTCTATTTTTTGGTGTGAATAAAAATTCATTATGTGAATAAAAAATCAAAATGGGATTTATTTGTAAAGCCTCAAAACGTAACTAATGAACAGAGGAAATGTTAGTTTAGTGCCAGGAATGCCTACATTGTTTATTCTGGACGCTATTTTGAAATTGGAATATTTTGAACTGTGTTAAATTGGCCAAATTACCAATTTCCAATCACTTTATTTTGTAGTTGAAACAGTTGACTTGGCTATTTCTTGTGCTCAATCGATAGAATAGAAGTAATACTAGTGAAATAGCTAAGAATTTGGTCAACTGGAATGATGTAATTGGCCTAAAATGGGAGTCAAAGTCGGCAAAAATCGCAGATTTGTAAATATCGCTGACACGTCAAAATTCGCGAGAGCATAATTTCGTAAATTTTCCATCAAATTTCATACTTTTTGTTTTATTACCTTCACAAAAAGATTCTCTACCATTTCATAAGAAAAAATAATTTTTTGGGGGAAAATTCTTGGACACTGGGGGCACCACTTCAGATTTTGGTCTTGGACCCTGAAGGGGTTAAACAGAGTCAAATGTACTAGCACAAAATTTTTTGTACCTTCAAATGTGCCACTTTCCAATATTTTTATCAAACTGTACTAAATCAGGTTTCCCCCAAACCCAGGTTACAACCTGAATTTGGAACAAGGACGAAGTTCAACAGTGAGATTCCATAATCCTCCCTGCTTCCCTGGATTTTTTTTATATGCCCTACACAGGTGCTCTCTACAAGTTACCACATACTGGCAGAACCTTGGTATAAAGCTTAAGGACCTTTTCACAAATAATCAACTAAACAGACAACTAAATTCCTGGAGACTAAAATTAACTTCATCAAGTCAGGAGACAATGACTTGCTAATACCCACAACTAAACCTGCAAGACGTTTCAGTATCACATTTGGACTAATACAATTGCTCCTCTTAAAGCAGTAGTGGATGCAGCTGCCATTCTAATAGCAGAAATTTTAACAACAGCACTGCCTGACATGGAAAAGCAGTTGATCATTAATGAAGACAGTCCTCAAGCAAGCCACAACTGCCAAATCTGGCCTTGTTCATCCCATGAACTTATGCTGTCACACTTGGTGCATGCATTCTATGCTACCCCAAACAATCGAATAAGGCCCAATAAACTCTCAAAATAAATGGGGGGAAGGGGGAATACCCACCCCCAGCAAAACTGACCAAAATAGAATAACTCTGCTACTCTGAGGATGATCTCAAATTACTACTGGCAAGGAACCAATTAAAATCTATTTTACAGAAATGGGCTTCTGAATCTAATAAATATACTAAGCCAGCAAATAGTGGAGCCAAGATTGGAAAGTACACTACCTAATTTTCATAAATAATGACCTGGTGCAAAATATAACAGTATCAAGAACAGTTATTCAGATTATAATCTAATCGAAGTTCAGACTTGCATGCATGGGGGCCTGGACCAGCAAAATGCAAAGTTATGAGGGTGCCTTCACCAAATTTAACTAACAAGATCAACTGGGATCAAATAAATCATCTTAATGAAACAAGCTGGGAAGTTATAAATGACATGGATACAAATCATTGTCTAGAAAGGATCAACTCTGTGGCAAGTTTAAATATGCCCAATACACATTCCCTAATGAAAAAGAAACTAGAAAGAGACTCCCTTTACAGGTGAAGATAAAAAATCATCATCTCAAGAGGGCTAGACTACCTGAAATGCAGAAGGAAACACTGACTGAGGAAATATCAAATACTGAACTTCAGTTAAATGAATCTTGCAGGACCCAGGAGCTAAAAGCCATAAATAAAACTAAGAAATTACAAATACTATTTATTTTCACACAGCAAACAGAAGACAAAAACCACAACCAGTATTGGGCTTGACCTTAGACATGACTGTACTTACACTGATGACAGCAAAGAAACGAGATACTGAAGTACCAACATGAGTATGTTTAGGAGCCATTGATCAGACTCAAGATGGACAATTCAAATGAATTTTGTTTATTAACAAGACCCAAAGTCTTGCCAACATTTTGAAAATTTGACATAACCCTATTACCAATGGACTTTGAAAAGCCACTGACAACATGCATTGCCCCAAGCCTAGACTCGGAATTCCATGCCAGATCAATCGAGGTGTGATGGTTGTGGGGGTCAGACAAGCACCAGATGAAACTGGCCCAAGGCTGGGCTCGGAGTAGAAAAACTTGCCGAGCTC